ATATATATATATATATATATATATATATATATATATATATATATATATATATAAAGAGAGAGAGAGAGGGAGAAAGATAGGCATTGGGGTTGTGGGCCCTTCTTTTTGTGTTTCTTTTATCATACTATATTACAAAGGAAACATTTTTTCTTTCACCACATTCATCTGAAACTCCCATGCATTTTTCCTTTCACTACATTCATTTGAAACTCCCATGATTTTTCAATTTCTTTCTAATAATAATTATAAGTTGGTTAATAAGGTTAAATAAATATTAAACCTAAAGTGTATTCATATATAAACTAAATTTCAATATTAAAATAATATATTTACTTCTATTTATTAAGTGATGTTTTTTAACTTTTAACATATTATACTTAATTTATTAGTTTTAATATATTGTTGGATGTTAACCATTATCATTTTAAAGATACAATTTTGGAACAATTTGTATAAAATAGATACATTATTAATTTGAATATAACATTACAGAGTCAACTTAAATATAAATTTTAGTTTAACTTAAACAACCCAAACAATATTTTGTAAATAGTTAAAAGTGATTAATTGTAGTGTTTTTCTAATAATGATTATAAGTTGGTTAATAAGGTTAAATAAATATCAAACCTAAAGTGTAATCATAAATATACTAAATTTCAATTTTAAAATAATACTATCTCCATTTTTACTTATAAAGTTATGTCTTTAACTTTTAACATATTATACTTAATTTATTATATTTAATATGTTGTTGTATGTAAACCATTATCAGTTTAAAACTACAACTTTTAAACAGTTTGGACAAAATACTTAAATTGTTATTTTAAATATAACATTAGAATGCCAACTTAAATATAAATTTCAGTTCCACTTAAAAAACCAAAGATTTGTAAATAGTTAAAAGTGATAAATGCAAAAACTAAATTGTAACCTCAATTTAACTAAAATATTTCCTAAATATATTTTTATAATCGTTAAAAGTTTTCAAATAAGTAACTTAAAATAACTTACAATAACAATAGTTAAAAATAACTATATATAAATGATTATATTGTTATCTTTCAAATAAAAAAACAATGTTTGATGTTTTAAATAATTATAATGATAGAAATTAAAACATTAAACAAATAAATTTAAAAAAAATTAATTAACAATAACAACAACTATAAATAACATTAAACCATATATTATATTTAATTTTATTTATGTGTAACTCGCGGGTAGAAGTCATTCAAACGATTGAAATTATGCAGTTATAATAGATGTATATATTATCATATAATTCAAAATAATCAATATATTATATCAATTCAATATACAAATTACTATATCAAATTTAACAACAACGTTATTGCTATATTAAAAAAAACATATATTTGTAAAGATTTCAAGTATATAGGTGTTTCTGTGCAACGCGCGGACATTAGCCTAGTTTTTAAATAGGTGTAAGACCCATGTTTTACATTGGTTTATTTAAAAAAAATTAAATATGAAATTTTAAACATCTGAGAAGTTTGAATTTATATAAAAAATAAAAAAACTATTGAATTATTAAATTTAAAGTGTTTTTTTTTCTCTTTTAAATTTAAACATATAATTTAAATAAATAAACATAAGAAACTTATGAGGTTGTAATTTAAAATTTTTAAAATCAGAAGGAAAGTCAATTAATGAAATTGATATATATTTATTATTATATTTATTGTAATTATTATATTTAAATATTATATGAAATTGAATTAAATAGAAACAACCATAAAATGACATGTGAAAAATAAAATTAATTTAAAATAACCACAAATATATGACAGAATAAATAAAAACGTGACATGTGATAAACATATATTTATTTATTAGAATAGATTAACAAACCACTAAAATAAATATAAAAATAATAAAAAAATAAAATTGCCCTTTCAAACTTTTTCAAGACCAAAATCAAAATTTTAATTTTAAACTTTGGGGTAAGTCGAAATTGTTTTGGACCTATCTATATTTTTACGAATACAGTTTTGTTATAAATTAATAAAGTTTTATGGATTACCGTAAATAAATTGAGAAATTCAGGCTCCAATCCCCATGTACTGTGAAGTGACCCACCTGCGGCTTTCATGATTGTTTTCAAGTTTTTCTCTTTCTATATGTGCCCCCAGGCCCCTCCGAAGTCTCCCTACCCTATGTCATCACCACCCGCGAATACCTCCTCTCTACGCCGTCCGATCGAAAGTTACCCCTTTTCTTCTCTCTCTCTCTCTCTCTCAAAATTCTCTTTGGACCTCTGGATTCCGCGAAACAGAAGGATCCGATCAAGTAAAGGGTCAACTCCTTTTCTGTGTTTTTTCTTGGTAAAGTCTCGTTCTTTGAGTTAGAAGTCTGAATTACTTCGATTCATGTTTCAAGCTTTTACTTTACGCATATCGTGCCCACCGCCACCGACATCATTTCTTTCATCTTGAAGAACCCGCCAGGGTTTATGCATATCATCGGTCGTCAGATACCTCTTCGCTAATTGTCCCTGTAAGTAATTCTGTTGAAATTTTGGTGAGATGTTGTTCTATGTCAATGCCGTGTTTTTGTTTTGTTTTCTGTATGTTGTGTGTTTGGTTTAGCTATTCTTGTAGTTATTGTTTAATTTCTTTTTAGATTTGAAAGAAATAATTGGGATACGAAATGGGAAAAAAGAAACCCAGTTTCTTCTATAGCTGCTAAAGCATTGCTGTTTATGGCTATTTTGTTTCTCTTTCTCATAATTGTTAGAAAGAACAACATAATCTTACCATTTATGTATTATTTGGTGTATAAAGAATTGCTAAATGAAACACTCCTTTTGTGAATTTCTATGTCTTCTGAAGGTGAACCACAACTTGAATCTGGATGTAATTAATTCTCTCATAGAAATATTAATTGCTACGAGAACAGAGCCGACAAAAGAAAAGCGTCATTTATACCAATATATGATAAAATAAAGAGATGTAATAATGAGACAATGTGCTTAATGACCTTTTCCCCTTTCTCCTCTTTCATTTTCTACTCCTTTCCCTTAAATGTCTCGATCAGTTTAATTGTCATTGAACCTTGTTCATCATCAGGGAATCTTGTTTATGGGGTTCTTGTGATACTTTCCAACTTTATTACCTTATCTTTATCACATTCACACTCGAATTAATGATTTCCAAGGACCACATAATTCTCCTTTTCAGTTTCTTATTGTCCTTTTCCATAGCCTCAAGTTGTCTTTATGCTGCAGGTATGCAAAATTAGTATCTAGAAAACCCAATGGGCTTACTTTGATGAAACCTGCATTACTGCATATGTCATAAAACTTTGGATGATTATAGATAATAGATTGCATGTCATAACTCATATGGTCTTGTGTTCTGATGTTGTATATTGTTTATCAGAGCAGACTGCATGACCAGATTTTCTTGACTACTATGGAGGGTATCTTTGACTACTAGCCATGGCATCATCATCATCATCTACACGAGGTGGAAATGGAAACAAAGTGGTGGAAATGGAAGAGATTGTTAGACACATGTCGAATTTACCTAGTTTTCTTGAAAGGGGAAAACCTATTCAAGATAAAGCTTTGAACTTTGGTGTCATGGATTGGGGTCGCTTAGAAAAATGGCAATATCATCGTCAAAAACAGGGTCTTGTGGGAAGCAACAAATATTCACCTTCTACAAGTAACTCGTCTTTATTATCTTCAACTGATGAATCTTCTCCTCATTCAAGTAGAGCTCAAACCTCTTCTTCTGCTCCTTTGAAACCTCATCATGTTACTTTACAATCTCATTTAAACGTTTCCCCAGAAGGAATTTCCATTCGAAGAAATCTTGAAAACTCTCAAGATGTTAAAAATGATCCTTGTAATAGTGGGAAGAAAACACGGAATAAGCCAAGAAGTTCCAAAATGAATGATATTTATGCTCAAAATCTTCCTGAATCATCATCATCATCATCATCATCAACATCTTTGAAGGGAAAGATGAAATTTCAAGATTCCTATGATCCAAAAAACAACATTCCAACATCATTTCCATTTGAAAATGAAGCCAAGTCTGAAAGAAATCCCATTACTCCAGAAAAGAAACAACTTAGTGTCTCTTCAAAGAATTCAGATTTCAAAACAAACACAATTCAGAGAACTATATCTCCACGTCATCATCGACCGAGTCCTTTAAAAAAGTTGTTAGACCCATTCTTCCAGTCAAAGTCAACTTCCTCTGGTCAACACATCCAGACTTTTGAAGACCCAAAAGTCAAAGCCAAAGTGAAGTTAGATTTCGGAAGCTGTAAGGAAGTCAAAGTTGGTGATGATTCTAGGAACAAGACGAAGGAGATGCCATCATCATCACCATCACCATCACCATCACCATCACCATCATCATCATCATCATCAACAAAGCAAGCTCTTTTTCAGATGGCAATCAAGAATGGAAGACCTTTGTTTACATTCACAGTGGATAACAATGAGGATATACTTGCAGCCACAGTAAGAAGTTCAAGTGAAAAAGATGACAACAACAGTTGGATTTACACATTTTTCACCATTCATGAGGTGAAAAAGAAGAAGGGAAGATGGTTATCTCAAGGAACCAAAGCCACAAGTCAAGGATTCCTCCCAAATATAACAGCTCAAATGATTGTTTCAAATTGTTCAGTTTCTAATTGTAGGGAGTTTGTTTTATCATCTTTAGACCCAAGTGTACCCGATGAACTTGCAGCCATTGTTGTAAAGTTTTTAAGAAAGGAAGAGAATCAAGATTGTTTCAGCATGACAGCTGTTCTACCTGGTGGCCATCATAGTGCACCTAGCAAAGGTGAACCTTCACCATTAATTGACAGGTGGCGATCTGGTGGAGCTTGTGATTGTGGTGGTTGGGATATTGGCTGCAGATTGAGAACCTTTACAAACAAGGTGGAATTGGAATCTAATGGAAGATCAAACAAATTTGATCTTTTCTTTCAGGTATGTTTTAGTTCCCATATTCATTTGTTACCTTATAGATTTTGGTGTTCTTTTGGCTCATGTAGTTTGTTGATTTTGATTCTACAGGGAGATGTTATAAGTGAGAGACCTTTTTTCAGTCTTTCTTCATTGAAGGAAGGGATATTTTCAGTGGAGTATGATTCGTCTTTATCGCTTCTACATGCGTTTTCGATTTCTATATCGATCATGGAATGCAGAAAATCTTGTCAGTATACAGAAGTTAAAATGTATGTTGCAAAACAAGTAGATGAAGATGATGAAGCTCCTGTAACATATGCATCATTGCCACCTGTTTCCCCTGTGGGAAGGGTTTAAGAGCTTAACAAAAAACAAAAAACAACTGGTTGGACTTTAAAGATGAGTTATTGGTCAAAACTGGGGTTTTTTGATAGCCATATATGAGTTCCATATGCCTTGATGTATCTTGATTGTGCACCTTAAACCTGATTATATAATCTATAACGAGGCTGAGTGAGCTTTATGGTTGAGTTTGTTATATAAGACGTCCCAATAATATTTGGTGAAACTAATTAGACATGTGTATAGTGTTTGGTGTATTAAATCAGCTTCGTGAAGAAAGTAATGTCATACATCAGATTATTAACACACTCTTTGATTTCTATGGAAGCTTAAATTATTGTTCTCAACAAAATCACATAGACTTATGTAAGACATAGTCTATGAATTACATATATACTTGTCTAGAAAGAATCATAACAAAGCTATATGCATTCATCGGAATACTTTTTGTGGTTATCTTGAATGTTCCAACTTTGTCTCTATTTTCACATTTAAAAAAATTGTTGATTACATAACAAGTCATGTAACGCCTCATCTTGGAAGATAAAAATTCTAAAAACATTGAACTTTTTATAACATTTTTAGAGGAAGATTTGTTGGAAGCAAAACATATTTGGCAAGACTAGCCTACAAACATTGACATTACTTTATTTCAACAAAAGGATTATTTTCTTCCGATAAGCGTTCTCCTTCAAACTAGTCGATGTTTGGTCTAGGACGTCTTATGCTTACCCTTAATAGTCTCCATAAAAGCTCTTGAACCTAGATACATATTGGTTTAAAAAAAAATGTCAGGTTCTACGCTTGATGAGTTCAAGAGTTTATGAAATAATACACTACTAGAAAACATGGCGTTTTCCTACGGAAAATAGCTACGGAAAATTTCCGTAGCTAATTAGCTACGGAATCACTACGGATCAGCTACAGAATGGGATGCCCTAGTTTAGTAACGGAATAGCTACGGATGCGGGTCCGTAGCTAAGTAGCTAAATAGCTATGGAATAACTAATTAGCTACGGAATGGCCACGGAATACCTACGGATACTAAGTACCTACGGAGTATGCTTTCCGTAAGAATTCCGTAGCTAATCCGTAGCTAAGTAGCTACGGATTAGCTACGGATTTTTCTTATTTTCAATTTTTCGGGCATCAAACGTTGTTTTTTTTCGCTTCGTTTTTTTCACACCTCTACTATACATGATTATCTTTATTTTCACTAACTTATAGCTATTAATATCGTTCATAATGTTGTGTACCCATTCGGGATCAAGTACTCGTTTCACAGTTTAACATTGTAATGCATATACTTTTCACCAACTTGTGATGGATTATGTTTGTATATGTATATTTATACACATGAATGAGTTATGGTATATTTGTACGTGTATATGTGTATGTATACGTGTTTGTGAGATGTATGTGAACGTATTCATAAGCATTATAGTGTTAAACCACTAAACGAGTAATGGATCCCGTATGTGCACACAACTTTATGAATGATACTAATAGCTATAAGTTGGTGAAAATATAGATAATCATGTATAATAGAGGTGTGAAAAAAACGGAGCGAAAAAAACGAAGTTTGGTGCCTGAAAAATCAAAAATAAGAAAAATCCGTAGCTAATTAGCTACGGATTTTTCTTATTTT